ACATAAAATAATATTTAAGTTATAAAAAGACCCGCTGTTTACTTTAACAAAGAGAACAATATTAATTAAATCGTTAACACAGCTTACGTATTTAATTCTAATGTTAAATTTAATATTTACTAGTTTTTAGTTTTTAACAATAAGTATTTAAATATAATATCTGGTTGTTTTTATCACAGAGGAGAAGGTAGCCACTGGTTTGTATCTGGAATAAGATCGTGGGTTCGTGCACGGAGCCAACGAACAGTTTTTCGGGTTTTCTTCACAATTGTAATATGTAAATAGTTACCAGTTTCCTCTAGAAAGTCCTCCTGGAAGGCATTCATTTTGGTAATCAAATAAAACAAACCAAACCTGGGTAACAGCAAAACAATAACACATTGCAATGGTGGTAATACATCACGCACAAACAGAAGTTTTTTTTTTTTTTTAAATAAACATCAAATAAAGTTAGGTTTGCCTACTTGGGGATAAAATCCGGGACATCCGAAAATCCTAAACAATGAAGAGAATATTATGTTTACATCTCTCTTTTCCTAAACTGAAATCTTGTTTTCTAGTCTTTTTGTTTTCTAGATGTACAGATGTTATCGTTTCCTCTTATAAACGTTATCGATCAAGCTGAAATTTTGGATGATTTTCAACATCCAAACTGGTTTAAGAAAGTAGTAACAAATTAGTTTCTACGATTTTCGAATGTTCCTATCGTAATTTAAAGTCATTCTGGGATTTCTACGTAGTAAAATATAATAGATTACGACCTAATTGGCCGTAATTCTTAACCTGTGATGGATCTTGAAAACTATATTAAACCGAATTGCCTATCTTCTACACGTTCAAATAAGTAGAGATTACGTTCTTGGAACTTGCTTTGAACTGTACAGTGACATATAATTCTCCACGAAAGAATTGTAAGATTGTTAATTTATAATTGTAAAAGCATTCTTCTCATATTTTATTTTGTTTTCCTTTAAATTGCCCACCAGTGGCCGAATGGATACAACTGCTGAACGTGGGTTCGCCCCTCTCCAGCTTCCAGAATGGTTGCCAATAGAGAGCAATTCAATTCTAGCGCTGCCATTCTTATATGAATTATTTATAAACAATACATTTATGGGACTTCTCTGTATTTGGCTCGTATACACTGAATGAATCCAAAAATATGAAAAGCCTCTTACAAAATAATTGTGTGTGGTATTTTGCATTACGCGCAAGGATTGGATGAACTAAAAATTTTGAAACTTTACAGGGTTTGTTAATGTTTATTTTGTATTTTATATAGGCCACATAAGCTTAATATAATGAAATGAAGAGACTCTCAAGATTGGTGTTGAAGCTGTGAGGAACAAAAAATGGCGACCGCTGCTGCTGCTGCTGCAAAGGAGTTTGGAATATAATAAGGACATGTAAAGTTTTCCTCAATTTCAAGTTTATTAAGACTTTTTATTCGTCTCTATTAAATTTTTCTAAGTTGAAACCATTGCTGTTACGTTTATCTAAGTTAAACGATTTTAATACACTTCTAAAAATGACTGGCTTTGTTATATCTAATGAATTTATTACAATAATATGACTTCTTATTTAATTATGTAGCTTATTTTTCTTAAAACTTTGCCTTGTTCTTCATACTATAACACGTAGTGGCCTTTAGTATAGTCCAGTCTCTTCGCAACACAGGAATTATTCATCTGTACGATCATACGAGATACTGCCCCATCATTTTACCCTATCTCCCCTAAAATAGGTAGCTTTATCATAGAATTATATCGAATTTTAAACGATCACATTTTGTTTATAATACCACATCATTTGTCCATAAGAATTTGAACTTTTTAACAGTGTTTAGAAAGAGTTTAAACAGAGTTTAAACAGTGTTTAAACCGTGTCTTCAGGTTATGAATGATACGTTTAGGACCTTAACAGAGATGTAGAGTATACTAATAGGAATAAAAAAGTCTCTACGAGCGACCCTTCGCGAGATATTACCCCTCCCGAAATGACTCTATAGCTCTTACTGTTTTTAAATAACGCCTGTAGAAAGACACCCAAACGACACTCGAGCATCTCTATCTTTCACTATTGTTTAGTTTTCTGTAGTTTGTTTTAGTCAAGGAAATACATAAAACAACGAAAAACTAGTACATAACGAACACAGTATTAATTCCATTTAAGTATGACGTAACAAACACAGGATGGACGATGACTCACATTCTGACATCACAAATGACATTTCCGATTTCGGACGTCACGCGAATCGCTTTCCTCGCGTATTAATGGCTCGAGGTAGAAGAAAAACGAGCAAAAGTTTCGATATTCGTCGTCGTCCAGCCGTCGGGAATAGTCGAGAAGACGACGCGACGACGGGTGACTTCTCCTAACGAAATACAATTTCTACTTTCTATCGATTTCTTGGCCGAACTCCCGACCGATTTCAAATTAGCGCCGTCGGAATCCAGAAGAGAAGGCGACGACGCGTCCGATTTTGAAGCGACGTCGTCAATCGTTGCGTTGACGAAAAGTCGAAGGAAGAGACGATCGGACGGGGGAGAAGGAAAACGAGGCGCCGGTCGCCAGGGAACCGAACTATAGATTTTTATCCAGGTGACGACGTGGGCCCTTCGTTTCCGTCGAACCCCCGGATGGAGGTTCGTCCGTCCGCGAGAAACAGTGCGAGCGATACGACGAAGCGACTGAGAAAAATTCGCTCTCGTCGCGTCGCTCGTCTAATAAGCGTGGATCGGCGCTCGTATTGTCTGCCGACTTAACTCCCCCTACCGACAAAGTAAGAAAGTATCGCCGCCGAGTTTTTTTGCGTTACTCGAAGCGATAAAAAAAACGTTTCCGCTAGATTTAAAAACGAAGGTTGGCCGCGACAGAAGAAGAGATAAAGCTATACGACTTTTTTTTTACCGAGCGACGCAACGCTTCCTTCTCGTAACGTCAGCATGCAACGTTTTTTCTTTTACGTTCGTCCTTTCCGTGTCGCGCGATATCTGCGGAGAGTCGCTAGCGCAAATCATCGCTCGCATTTATCGCGGCGTCGGAAAGTGTAGAGAGGTAGCGATTTTTTAACGCGAGTCGCGCGGGGAAAACCCGAAACGTCTCACGCATAATAATCTTCAAATTTTACTTTTTAATCGTCGACCGATAGAAAATTGACCCCGTTTTTTTTTTTTGTTTTTTTTTCTTTTTCCGGCGACTCCAAATATCGGACTTTCCCAGAAATTTCGAAAAATAATTTTTCCTTTCCGAAGAAAAAAGTCTAAATATAACGTCAATCCATAATCTCGCATTGGTTTTTTACGTATGAAGATTTATGCGAATAATTTCGTTTCATCTTCTGTCGCCATTTATTTCGTGTTCTACGTCTTTTTGCTCGCCCGCTCGCGCCGGTTGTTGACGCGTGCAGGCCGTTTGCGTCATTAAAACGGATTGCGTTACGGTCGTCCATTTTCTTTTTTGTCAAACTGCAGGCATTAAAAATGAAATAATTTCATAAATTGGATAAAGAAAATAAAAATAAACGGATGAAGAGAATCTTCGGGATTCTGAGAATATGGGTGCAGCTCGAGCAGGGGAGGATCTATGTTTTTCGGGGCCTAGGGCTTATTTGAAGTCCAATGGGCTTTTTTTACTGGATGATATTGATGGGAGTTATTTTATTGTGATGTGAACACAGATTTATATAAAAATATTTCCGCCCAGTGGACACTAAGAGGGCCTCTTTTAGCAAGCCCATTATGGGTTCGGCCAGGACCGGGTAGTGAGGGACGGGGCCCGAAAAATTTCTGGGAATTTTTTAACCCGTCCGGATTCTTCCGGGTCCTCCAGAGCGGTAGGCTATCAGAATGGTTTGCATATTAGGGGGGATATATTTCCCTCTAACATGTAAACCACCCTGCAAAATTTCAGAAATTTTCGGCAAAGGGCACCGGAGCTTCGAAGTGGATGAAAAAAAATCGTGCTTTCCCATACATTCATATACGAAAAAATCCGATTTTATTATTATTGTTATGTTTATTTTTGCATTTCTCGAAGTTTCAAGGTCCCCTATGTCCAGGAAGGTAAGAGTCTCGTGGGGGCCATTTTTTTTACCGATATACTTTCCCTCTGTTATATATAAAAGCCGGAAAAGTAAAAATTTGCATATGACAACTCTTCGGGATTTTTTATTTGTTTACGATAACGCAATACGTGGACGATCTTCCGAAGGGGGATGTCTCCCGGGGGTATTTTCTGTATGAAAATGGCTCCTATTTAGGCGAAGAAATCAGTTGTCGAGTGAATAAAACCACCGAATAGTAGTAGTGATGGGTCGTGGGTTCGCGCCTCACCAACGAGCTGGCCACGTGGTTTTGGGTGTTTTTCTTACGCATTAATGTGTGTTCACTTTCCAGCTAACATACAGTCAGCTCCTGATTATTATCTTAATATTATTATAAAGGGGATTACATCTAATAGACAACATCAGCAATTTCTAATACCTAAATTTAATTTGAGTGTTGGACAAGTATATTCTATAGAAGTAGGCCTGTAAAAATGAATAATAAAGACATATCGTATCCATTTGTTAATGTAGAGGGTTAAAACGATGAATTGAGGGGTAGAGACTGCGCTAGTTTGAGTAGCGCGCACGACCTGCCTTCAACTTTCACCCCCAACAAATTTATTTTAGTGAATTTTCCGACACGTGACAAAGGAAAAAATAATAATTAACTGGCGAGACGACGCTACGTTAAAGCCTTCTGCAATAGAAGATCTCCTTAGTTAAGGCTGTTGCGTAGTTTCGGGGGCAAAAATTAATAAAGTGTCACGCGTAAATGACGTAACGAATACTTTACATTGGCGCCGTTTCGGACGAGAGATTCCGCGCGTAAACCGAGAGTTGTTAAAACCGCCGGGAAAATCATTTTTCCCTCCGGGACGGGGGAATTTCTGTCATTCGGGGAATTTTCCCCGCACCGGAACGTCGTCGGTTTCGATCGGCGACGGTGGCTCCCCTCGATCGATGACGATTCGGATCAAGATGGCGGACGACGATTCGGATCTTCCGCGGAACACCTAAAGAGGACAACCGATAAGGCGTCGTCGGGCCGCCCGAAATGACGAAGACGAGGTTGTCGGACCCACGAAAGCGATTCTAGGACATAAGTGATGCTTAATGAACGCGAAGGTGAGTGAACGTCGGGCGCCCCTTCTTCTCCGCTTCTCCGCAACACCCCATCGGGCATTCGTCGCGATTTCGCGTCGGCATTTACGCCGTTACGACGCGCCGATAGGTAACAAGGACCGGGTTTAAAAGGTATTCCGGGCGCTCTTCACGGCGCATGCTTCGCGACGGTCGGGGGCGATCCGGGAGGACATTGTCGCGTTTAGGAGTAAGAAAGAGGAACCCGAAACTCGCGCTTAGGATGAAGGGAAGACGTCCTTCCAGAAACGCTTCACCCTCGCGGGAGTTAGATACGACGGAAGGGGTGCCGCGTTGGATGCGAGAAGACGACGGCGGAGTGCGCGAACCCCTTTTGATTGGGGGGCGGAGGGTCCGAGCGTCGCGCCGTGGAAGCGCGTCGCTCTCGGAATAGGTATCGATCGACGCCCATCGGGTTGACCGGCTCCGCTTTCTGCCCTAGTTTTCGTCTCCGATCGAAGTTTCGGACGCACGGAACGACGAAGTAAAGACCCCCCCCCAATCTCGGATTCTCGCGACACACGGCGGCCGTCGGCGGAAGCGCAGCGGCGAATTCCGAGCGGCGAAAATAGTCGGAAAATGGAGAATCGATCCGGACGTCGCTTCCAAGTTTCGAAGCGAACGTCGCGACGGTTTCGATGATGTTCGAGCGTTATTTATTTATTGGTATATATAGATATTTTCGCCGGGAAGCCGAGCGACGGTTTTCCTCCGCCTCATTCGCATCCGGAAAGTAGAAAAAAAGATAGATTCGGCGGAAGAGGTCGCGAAACCGCCGGAGCGTCGCATCGGCGCGACGCGGCGTCGGGAAAGATGGCCCCTGCGTTTCTTCTCTACCGCTCGGCCCGGTGGCGATCGGGTGAAGAGTGAATCGGAGGGAATTCGATAGCGTTTCTTTAACAAGAAAACCGCCGGGAGTCGGTCTTGTTCCAATGACGTCGGATCCGAACCCGAGTCGAATTTCTAACGGACGGGCGATCGCTTTGTTTCTTCACTCGCCGCGCGCTTCGTTTCGCGATTATTGATGGCGGAAAATTCTCGGGTTCGGACAAAAGACAGGAATTTGATTAGGGGTTCGACTTTTTGTGAAAGAGCGTCAAAACCCATCGCGACTCTCACAACCGCTCCAAGTTTTCGCGTCTTCGAGAAATACCCAGACGAAGTACGCGCGACGAGAAACGCGCGGCGGCTAGGCGCGAAACAGTAGGGCCCTCGATTCAAATGTCGGATGAATCCGAATTAAATCCTCAAATTAATACGTAGAAGTCGACAGTGTTAAGTATTTTTCGTACGGATTCGTAAGGAAATGCCTCGAAAGCTTACTACTTCCGGAAGAATGCCTTTCGAGTTACACATCAGTTATAATTACATAATACAGAAGTAATAATGGGTGTTTCTATCCGCAGAATCCAACGAGTCCGGATTCCGACGGGTCCAGCATGGACAGGCGGCGATCGTCACCTCCGTCACTGGTGTCCGGGTCGGCGGGCAGCAACGAGAGGGACATCTGTCGGATCTGCCACTGCGAGGGCGACGGCGACACCCCCCTCATCTCACCCTGCTGCTGCACCGGGAGTCTCCGTTACGTGCACCAGGCCTGCCTACAGCAGTGGATCAACAGCTCCGACACCAAGTGCTGCGAACTCTGTAAATTCGAATTCATCATGCACACCAGAATCAAACCCTTCAGAAAGGTGAGATCACGGCAGTCGCTTTCTCGCATTTTCTTCCACTCGCGACTTTCTAATGGCAGGGCGAGTGACGGAGGCGATTATCGCCAAGCGATTCACCGTCTAGTGTTTAGTCGCACCGCTAAAGAATATTCCCCACCCCCTGTCGAATATTTACTGCTGAGACTCTACCGTTTTTTTTTTTTTTTTTTTTTTTTAAATGCTCGTTGTTGTTACTTTTTGTCCGGGCAGCACCGGGCATTAAAATCGCCGCGATGTAGCGAATATCGCTGCTACTTTACGAGTACTTTATAACCGGCCATAAGATTCGTTTAACTCCGACTTTATTGAACGTATCCTTAGCTTTCAATTGCCCGTTCAAGGTTAAGTTTCGAGTTACGTTTATATTCGGTGTTTATGTCACACTACACTACGTAATAGTCGGAAAACTTATAAAAGGAAATTGTATAAGAGAGCGTAGTAAATGTAGGCACCTGGGGTGCGACTATGCAGACGCGAGCGAGCGAATTTTTCGAGCAAGCGAGAATATGTGGCGAGAAGAGGCGAGACGCGATAAATATCAAAACCTGTCAGATATGTGCGAAAACTAGAAATTCGCTCTCGCTAGCGTCATTTCTCGCTTCTCGTTTGTGCACGATTTTCCTTTGCGAAAACTAAATCGCTCGCAACCTCTCGCTCGTTCTAAATTCGCGTCTGCATAGTCGCACCCTTGGGCAGATGGACGGGAGAACGGGCGAAGTAGGGGAATTGTATTGGTTTATTTGTTTAGGCAACGGGACACGCGGATGATGTGCCAAGGGAGGACTTTCTATGGAAAATTGGCCCGCGTGTAGGTTCACATAGAAAGTTCTCCCGAGGATCCAAATGATCTCTTTTGGCAGATTGTTCATCTGTCGTATTGCTTTATTCCAGCAATCATGGTCCCCGGTATACACGGCATTGGTTTCTTCCTATAACACATATTGCACGATCACGCTTTCTCGTTCGAGCCATCCTAAATTCTATTATTCTGGCTCAGATACGTACAATCGTTTTATTGGCTATCGGAAGCTGCGAGTCTTAGCGACAACGTCAAACGTTCGAGGCGCCAAAAATTCCCGTAGCGGTGCGTCAAGCTGCTAGAGAGATAGCGACTCACTTTTCCGCTCGATACCGTTGGAAACTTCAATAAGTGGAATCGAGAATTTACGCGATCGAGAAAGACTTTCGTACGTCCCTTCGAACGGTGGATCGCTTTCGCTTTTTTTTTCCCGCGCCCCCGCCTTACGATTCGTCTCCCGAGGAGGGTGTATGACGTGTCCAGTGCTTCCGGCGTAAACGCTTGCGGGAATAAAGAACGGTGGGATTTTCTAATGTGTGACGTTTTGTTTGGCGCAGTGGGAGAAGCTGGAGATGTCGCCGGTTGAGAGGAGGAAGATGGCGTGCTCCATCACCTTCCACGTGGTGGCCATCACCTGCGTGGTGTGGTCACTGTACGTCCTGATCGACAGAACGGCCGAGGAGTTGCGTTCCGGCATATTCGAGTGGCCTTTCTGGACCAAGCTAGTGGTGGTGGCCATCGGTTTCACCGGAGGACTGGTCTTCATGTACGTTCAGTGCAAAATGTACGTTCAGCTCTTTCGCCGGTGGAGAGCCTACAACAGGATCGTCTACGTGCAGAACGTGCCAAAAAAGCCCACGGAGGTCCCCCCGCCCCTGTCCGAACCGGACAGCGGCGGCGACGCCGGTTTTCGAACGTCGAGCGAACCTTGCGGCGACGGGGCGGCGGAGGAACCGCGCGCCACCGCCAGTCACCGGACCGCGTTTACCAGGACCGAACCCGGTCTTTCGGCCGGCGCGCGGTAGAAACGGCGCCCCGGCGGTTCGAAACCGCGCGCGCTTTCGTTCTTTCGTTCCCGTTGTCTCCGTCGGCATCGTTTTTTTTCGCCGCCGGGACGGGCTCGACCGCGCAAACCAGCGACGCGTCGCGCGAATTATCTTTTTATCGTTAGTTTCGACTCAGGGATACGGAAAAAAAAAATAAATAAATACGATTCGGATATTTTTTGTTATATGCGCCGAGCGGCCGAGTGTGTGGGCGCTCGTTCCACTTTTCGGTCTGGCCGCCCTTCCATCCCCTTCGGTTTTGCGTTTCTTCCGTCGTTTGGGTTGCCGTTCTTCACGTTTTTTGTACTCTTCTTTCGGAAATAAAAGAGTTTCCGTTTCCATTTTATAAGTGGAAGGATTCTTGCTCCTTTGCGGTTGCCCGGAGGACGGTTCTCCGCCCCCCCCCCCCCCCCGGGATGCCGCCGATTTTCGTCGATGCGATAAACACGAGGTTGCACCGTAACGGCGACAATATTTCACCACGCGGCCCTCGTGTCGAAGATACTGCAGGACCCTTCCCACTTCCCACGCGTATTCAGCGTGGGAAGTGAGGACATCGTGGGATAGAAAGGAAGGATCGGAAGGAGAAAAGCCGGGGAGGCAAATTAAAAATGTTCCCTTTCCGTGTTCTAAAGGTGGATGCACGCATGCGGTGCCTCGATATAAACGGCAATATTCATTGGGCACCCGGGAATAGAGTGGCTCCCTTTTTTGCATCTTAGGGGCCTCATTTGGTCTTTCCGAACAAGTAAAATACGTAGAATGTCCCTTTGTTAATAAAAAGTAGTCTCGGAGATTTTATTTTCTGCTAGTAAAATGGCGTTAATTTTTTACGGGGTTTGAAATCACCACGGGCCCCTACGTGTGGGCCCTTTCGACGGCTCGAATACCGCTTGTATGCATCCTCCTTAGAACGTTCAATTACGAACGGAATTTATAGAATATCGAACATCACGGCGGCTCATTGGAAAATTTTACGCGTAGAAATTCGAGTTTTATTCCGAGATTACGCGTAAGTCTGCAGAAGGTTTCTCGTGTTATAGAGTAGGCCGTCGCGATAATGGAGAACCGTCGCAAAGCGAGTCGTCCCGTTTCCTTTAAGCGACGTCGCGTTTCGCGTAAATGGAAGAATTCGAACGAAATTCGAAAATATTGATAAAGCACCGGCGTAATTTTTCTACGAAAAAAAAAAAAAAGAAAACGGCATTTTGTATTATGTATTCCTCCAATCCACGAAACGAAAATTGTAGTTTATGGATTGTAAGCTTAGTTCACGCAAAGCGAATCGCTGGCGAAAAGCGACGATCGAAGAGCGGAGCGAATATCGTGCCGGCGAAAACTTAATTCGCAGCGATCTTTTTTCTTTTGCATTTCACGTTTAAATATTTTCTCAAGCAAAAAAAAAAAAAAAAAAATATTGGCACCGATCAAAAGTGCGGATTTCTTGACAAGAGAGGAACAGTTTCAAGATGGCAGCGACGAAGATCCCTTTTTATCGACGCGACAACGGCGAATTCTCTTTGCGACTTAAAAGCCTCTCGCCGTTTCTCCGCGACACTTTTAAGTTTTTCGCCTTCCAAGTCCACGATGGGAAGTACAGTAGTTACAGTAAAAATTGCCGAGAAATTGTAAAGTAAGTTTCCAGCCTCAGTATTTGTATACACGTGGAATAAAAGAGTTTAAAAGTATTTTTTTCGATTTTACTCCGATGCCATTTAATAGCGAGGTTGAGGCCGAAGTTTTCATCGCTCGAACGTGAACGTCGAACGTCGAGCGCCGCCATCTTGTAAGCCGCGCTCGACGTTCGACCATCTTGTAAGCTTGATACGTTTAAATTACTATAGATTAGACAGAAACTTGAGTATTTATGAAGACTTCTAATGTTTTCCTCCCATATTTATGATTTTTACATTAACTATCAACATATTTGCCGAAGTTTATCGTCTTCTTCAAACTTCTACCGATATCAAGAATGCAACGAGTCCAGTACACTTATAAGTATTGTAATAGAGTTAGAGCTGTGTTTTATCATCAGATTATTCCATCAAAATTTATTCACACTAAAAAGTAATTAAATATTTGATACTTGCAAAGACGAAATGAAGATATAAGATACTAACCGTTGCAGTGTTAAATTTACTTTTCAATTGTTTATTCGCATTTAGGAATTCGTATGTTTAGGAATTCTGTTCTCTTAACTTCCTTCTTTTGATTTTTCTTGTCTTCTGCGTAGTGTTTTTGGCTTGTTTGAGCAATTGAATGATAATATTGGTGTTCAAAGCCGAGCAAATTTGAATAATATCGACTGTTTATTGTTAGCAAAATTCGGTGTAGATAATTTTCTACATTCCAAGTTCATAATTACCGAGTTACGAGAGCTGGCATTTGAGCCTGGGTCGGATTTTTGGGAACTTCCTGCGGTCTCTAGCCGGAACGTATTAGGTCCAATCCTTTGCTATTCGGCCATTTTGAGAAAACCCATCGGGCAAACTCTGTGATGTGCTCAAAGAAAGGATCCTTAGTGTCCATAGGGTAGGAAAAATCATAGAAAAAAATTCACAATGCCTCATTACAGAGGCATTACAGAACATTTTGAGAACATGACAATATGACATTCTTTACAATCAAAAATTTTACACACACAATGTTTAGTGACCACTGTGATAATTAAGACCGTTTCTTTTTTAAAATAAAATTTGGGATTTTAAAAGGTATGAATACTTATTTCTTTGAGAAGTAAAATTTCAATTTATTCACCATGCAAAATGCAAGCGATTGACCTTTTTTTCTTCTGTGTAATTTGGTGGTGTTACAATTCAATAAAACGTTTTACATTAAAGTCAATATCGTACTTTAAAAACTCGGAATTTTATAGGCATTCGGTGTCGTAAATCCAATCCTTTAGAACATTTTGGAATGTATTTGAAAGACACGTCAACATCCGGATCCATTACAAGAAGTTGGCATTTTATGACGGTAAAAGAGTGCCCAATGCAATAACGTATTCATTATTCTGTTGGGTAGACGATACCGATAAATTTGCCATACCGTACAGGCTCAATATACCCGAAAACCGTGAGCATTAACTTGAATTAAAAAGTTTTTCAGGAAATTTCTCTCATGTGTACGGATGTTGGAACATTCTATGTGACTCGAGGCTGCTGCGATGCAATCGGTTCATACAAAAATCCAATAAAAATATCTATATTTTCAATGGTTTGTTGTTAATCTTTTAGAGTGTTTGAAATATATCCCCACGAAACATTAAGTGGAAGCAACCTTCATAAAACAAGACCGCGTGGTAAAATATCTGTGGTGCTAAGAGAATGTATGAATAATTAATCGATTATCCGGAGTAATTAGTTAATTTCCGGATAATACGGACATTCATATAACCACGAAACACAAGCGTACTATACGAAAAAAAAACGAGACACCGAAGAATTATTGAAAGACAAAAGACCGTTTGTTCATGACAATCGAGAACAATTAACATTGTAAATAAAAAAGCAATACGACGACGATGATGACGATCATCATCGTCGTCGTTTTGCCTTCAGGATTTCATGCGTATCCTTGTGAACTTTATTATCCTTTGGGGTACTTCTGGATCGCGTTACACTATGACCATTGTAATCTTGGAGTGTATCCACTTCTTCGCATTCTAAATAGTTAAAAAGTAGAAGAGTGAAGATAAAAGTGGTAAGCACGAGTGCATATCGTGGCACCATCATTGTACCACGATTTGCGCGCTTGCTTACCACTAAGGACGATGTCGATACGGTGGTCGAACGGGGAGAACTTAGGGCACCGGGTTGCCGGGAGGAGCAAACCGGTCCGAGATATAAATTCGACAGAAGAAAGAAAGAAAGAAAAAAAAAAAAAAAAAAAAAAAAAAAAAANACATTCCGAATCGCTAGCCACGATATAAGGGCTAAAATTAAAAATAAAATTATAAAAACTTACTTGGTGAAATAAAATGTGTGGTGGATATACATACCTGGTACAAAACCTTCTTCATTTGTATGAATATACTTTTAAAGAAAATTATAATTAAATATAACTTTGTAATGAAACGTACAGTACATGAAAATAACCAGTGGTGATATTCAGCGGGTTCGCACAGGTTCGGCCGAACACGTTGTTAACATTTTCAAAGTTTTCCGAACCTTGTTAAACACATGTAACATTTCTCAGTGGTTTCGTTTCTTTTAAAAAATATATTAAAATACAGTAATACCTCGACTTACGCTACCCCGACTTACGCGAACCCGGAGTTACGCGATTTTCAAATCTCGTCGATTCGTCTTTTGTTTGAGCGCCACGCAACTCTGGATTACTCATTCTCCCCACACTATTGTTCGGCTTACATGTTCGGATGTGTCGCGCGGAATCGACACATAGCTACAATTTATTTTGTGTTATTTATTTCTGTGTTTGTTATATCTACGGAGCCTTCAGAGATTCTATGTTGTGATTTCTTGTAACAATGAACGAATCAAACGACGATATAAGATTAACGAGAACATTTATTAGCTTACATACACCCGACTTGGATTTTACACACATTGAGAAATTATACCCCGACTTACGCGATTATCGCTCGGTCCCACCTATCGCGTAAGTTCGGGGTATTACTGTAT